TGACCACTGGACCTGCTGTTGGTCTCATCCATGATGGGGCTACCGTATTTTCATCAACTTTTTTTTTTAATGTAAACTCCTGCAGAGGGCATGAAAAGCCAAAGTATATTGGTCTTCTGTGTTCATGCACACAAATTTACAGACTTGTGCACCAGAGTTAAGATGCAACTTCTAAAGCATTAAAGGTAAAGGTACCCCTGCCCGTACGGGCCAGTCTTGACAGACTCTAGGGTTGTGCGCCCATCTGACTCTATAGGCCGGGAGCCAGCGCTGTCCGCAGACACTTCCGGGTCACGTGGCCAGCGTGACAAGCTGCATCTGGCGAGCCAGTGCAGCACACAGAACGCCATTTACCTTCCCGCTAGTAAGTGGTCCCTATTTATCTACTTGCACCCGGGAGTGCTTTCGAACTGCTAGGTTGGCAGGCGCTGGGACCGAGCAACGGGAGCGCACCCCGCCGCGGGGATTCGAACCGCCGACCTTTCGATCCACCCGCGTCCCTCTAAAGCATTAGGGAGTGGTTAAATTTGTTGACACCCATTTGCTAAGAGACAACTCTGCATCTCCACCAAACAAAGGCAATAAAGGAAGGCAAAATAGGGATAGAGTTACCCAGGAAAACTACCACCCTCCCTTGGCAAAGTTTGCATTTATAGAATCATAGAAATGTAGAGTTGGAAGGGACCACGAGGGTCATGTAGCCCAACCCCCTGCAATGCAGGAATCTTTCGCCCAAGTTGGGGCTCAAACCACACAACCCTTAGATTAAAAACCTCATGCGCTCTGGCTGGCCTTGTTGAAGAAACCACGTTATTAGCAAGATAACCAAGGGATGCAGGGCCAAGGCGAGGGCAGCGAGCGGCCTGCTTCCTGGCGGAGGGGAACCTCCAAGTGGCCTCTGGTTCATCTATAAAAGGGGAGGGGGAGGCAAGCTGCTTTTGAGTATCACTTTCAGCCATTCTGAAGGTTAAATGCCTGTTTAGAGGCCCCTATTGAAGGGCGGAGGTGGGGTTTCTCGCATTGTTTGAACACCCTCCAAGCTTTGTTTAGCTGCTTTCAAGGAGCCTGTGAATTGGGGGGTGGGGGAAAGCGCAGCATCCACTCCCCAAGCGGCTCCCCCTGGGCTCGAATAGAAGGGCCTCGTCCTGGCAGGAGAGGCTGGCTGTTTCCTGTGAGGCCTCAGTAGGCTGGGACTGCCCTGCTTTCTTTGAGCAGCAGTTTAACCCAAGCTCAGAGGCCTGCCTCCACCTTACTGATCTCTGCTTGACACCCAATTACCACATGAATGAGACAGAAAAAGGTTTTAACTCCCCCTGACCTTCCTTCCCCCTCCCCCTCCCCGCCATATCATTTCTCCCTCCCATCCCCCTACCCCCAGACCCCTTTTCTCTGATGCAGAAGGGAGTTCAACACGGAGACTGGGAGAAACCAAACAAAAGCCCCAGAGCCAGGAACCCTTCATTGTCATGGCCTGCAACAGCGGCTCCAAGCGCTCTCGGTCTGTCATTCAAAGGCTTCGAAGTTCGACTTGCTGCTGGCTGTTTGAGGGTTCCTCGTAATGCTTCATTGAGAAATAACCGGCTCCTTTTGCAGGCGGAAAAACGTGGTCCCTCAGCGTGGCCTGCTAAGTCACGCTGCATGAAATGTCACTGCCCTCCCTCTCTTAATTAAAAATGAAATATACGCCACTGTTATATTTGTTGCAGGTCGTCTGCTGGAAAGAACGGTGTTGGGTTAAAGGGGAGCCTAAACGCATCACAGTGCAGGGTCAGGCCCTAGCAGTGTGGCACCAGGTGGGGGTGCAAAAAACAGGCGCCCTGTGAGTTTCTACCAACAAAAATAGGGTCATAGACTCATAGTCAAAGAATTGTATAGTTGGAAGGGCCAACCGCCTGCAATACAGGAATTCATATACAGTGGTACCTCGGGTTACAGACGCTTCAGGTTACAGATACTTCAGGTTACAGACTCCGCTAACCCAGAAATAATACCCTGGATTAAGAACTTTACCTCAGGATGAGAACAGAAATTGTGCAGTGGCGGAGCAATTAAGAACAGTTTCAGGTTAAGAACAGACCTCCAGAACAAATTAAGTTCTTAACCCGAGGTACCATTGTACAATATTCCTGACCAGCATCCTTCCATGCCAAGCAGTACTGACGGCTTTGCCATCCTATGTTGCATTCCTGTGTTTGTCAGTGGCCTTTGTGGCACTACTTTCTGAAATGGAGTGCTACTGTCGGAGAACATTTCATGTCAGATTGGATATTGTTAACAAAAGTTGGGTGTCCCCCTCTCTCTGCCAAGCAGTAGCAAGAGTCCAGGCACTCATGCAGGGTCAGTGTTCCTTTGGAGGACTGACACATGGCAGAGACTGTCATAGCTTTGAGAAATATGGTTTATTCACCTATTTGCACCTTCAGTCTGCATGGAGGGGGTCCAGATCATGGGTAGGCAAACTAAGGCCTGGGGGCCGGATCCGGCCCAATCGCCTTCTAAATCTGGCCTGTTCCAGGAATCAGCGTGTTTTTACATGAGTAGAATGTGTTCTTTTATTTAAATGCTTCCATCTGCAGTACTGAAGGGTAGAAACAACAATGTACCATACAGTGAACACTTATATATATACCCTTGAGAAGCATAGAATGGAGAAATGGTGAGGCCTTTTTTTGTATTGTTCTTTTTACTGTGATATCCACTGTCAATTTATTAATCCAATTTTACAAAGTATACCAGGAAGATTTGAAGTGTTTTATACTGATTACCTCTTGGCTGACCAGTTTCCTGAGATTACTGCCAAGGCAGCTCATTTTTGTGCGGCAGCAATAGCTTGTTGGCACAGGATCTTAATTTTAAAATTATCAGCACTTTATGGCGCTTTTCATCATTTTAGTATATAATTTTATATTTCTCACTGTTTTATATTCTACATTGTTTTTAATTTTATATTTAATATTGTATTTAATTGTACATTATATTGTGTTTTATGTATGCATAATATTGCATTATATTGTGCTTTATGTATTCTGTTTTCTTCCTACCTTCTTACTGATCCTTGACCGAACCAAATATACTAGTACTACTATGCAATGCTCAAATAGATACAATAGAAACACAGGGTTATTCTCTGAGCTCATTCAACACCTGCAAAGTGGGAGAGAAAATCTCCATCTCAAACCCCCAAAAGATGCCTTCCATATTTCTTGCACTCCCAACTCAGTCAGCCTCAACCAGCATAGCTAATGAACACCTAGGAATTCAGGAGCTGCCGTTCAGCAACATCTGTAAGGTCACGAATTCCAATTCCCCAACCTATATTTTTTTGAATCCTTTTAATACAGTGGTGCCACACCAGGAGAGGATGGCAAGTGTGGCGGGAAGATTCAAGAACAATCAAAAAAACATTTAAACATTACAGTGTAGTGTAGTAAAGTAAATAAGAAAGATCGGAAAAGAGAAAGGCTTGTGGTGATGAGTTTTTCTCAAATTAGACCTAATATAAATGGTATTGCCCAACAAAAGCAAGCCCATACCTCTCATTGAGTTTGTAGACATACATAAGGTACACACAGGATGTTCGTTTATAATTACATTTTGGGAATGATTCATGTTCTTATGTAGCTGCCTTTTTTTTTTTTAAATTTCTGGATGTCCCCATTATCATATTATAAAGCAGTTGTGCTCCATGTTACAAATCAGGCCCTGCTAGTTTTTGTTTCTGTTTGTTTTCCAATGTATTTATCAATTTAGAAAATGGTGTGGCACAAGAAAATTGTAGCCCGAAAGTGTGGCCCATAGAAAAATGTCCCAGAACCACTGCTTTAATATGTAACAGGCAGCTGAGTAGGTGCAGGCTAGGGGGTTGAATTATGGTTCTGGAGGAGACTCTTGAGAGTCCCATGGACTGCAAGAAGATCAGACCTATCCATTCTGAAGGAAATCAGCCCTGAGTGCTCCCTGGAAGGACAGACCGTGAAGCTGAGGCTCCAATACTTCGAATACTTTGAAGACTCCCTGGAAAAGACCCTGATGTTGGGAAAGATGGAGGGCACAAGGAGAAGGGGACGACAGAGGACGAGATGGTTGGACAGTGTTCTCGACCTACCAGCATGAGTCTGACCAAACTGCGGGAGGCAGTGGAAGACAGGAGTGCCTGGCGTGCTCTGGTCCAGGGGGTCACGAAGAGTCGGACACGACTAAACAATAACAAGGTGGTTGTGGGAAGAATGAGAACTACAGTGGTGCCTCGCAAGACGAAATTAATTCGTTCCACGAGTTTTGTCGTCTTGCAATTTTTTTCGTCTTGCGAAGCACAGTGTCGGGAAAGTTTTGGAAAAGCTTCAAAAACCTCAAAAAAGGCTACCACACCGCGTTCTATGAGTTGCTCCTCGAAGTCAAGTCGCAACTGTATTAACGGTGTTAAGAAAAAGGAAACAAACTTGCAAGACGTTTCCGTCTTGCAAAGCAAGCCCATAGGGAAAATCGTCTTGCGAAGCAGCTCAAAAAACAAAAAACCCTTTCGTCTAGCGAGTTTTCCGTCTTGCGAGGCATTCATCTTGCGAGGTACCACTGTACCAGACTTTTAGAAGACATCTGAAAGCAGTCCTGTTTAGGGAAGCTTTACTGTATTTTAATATTTTGTTGGAAGCTGCCCAGAGTGGCTGCGGAATAAATAAATTATTATTATTATTATTATTATTATTATTATTATTATTATTATTATTATTATTATTATTATTATTATCCAAGATAACAACCTGTTTGCAGCCATGATTTCCAGGGTATAGAAACTGCGGGACCTAAAACTGATCAGCAAGTCTGATACTTCTCAGTTACGGCTGGCAACTTTTTCGGACACCCTGGCTACCAGCCAGAGCAGGCAACACTAATCTGGCCGGGACATCCCCGCGGTTCCAACCAGGGCAGAAGGCGGCTGCTCCGAGGCCTTTTCAAAACGGGCGGGCGGGGCCAAGCCTCTTCCGGCGCGCCGTTGCTCGGCAACCTCCGCCGCCCACGGAAGCAGACGCGGCCTCGCACTTCCGCTGCTGGCAACGCCGTTCCCTCACAAAAGATGGCGGCGCCCTTGTCTCTTCAGCTGGAGTTCGGGTAAGGGAGGCGCCATCGGGGCGGCGGAGGGTTTCCTCGCCGAGATCCCGCGTGGGGAGCTCAGCCGGTGAAGGGGGTGCTTGGTCTGGGGGTGGAGGGTCTGGGTTTGGGTTGAGAGTGTTCCTTTTGGGCGGGTGGAGGGAAACGGGGGTGCCATTGTTTCCCATTTGGTTTCTAAAGCTTCCTTTCTTCGCCCTCACAGGCTCCTCTTCTCCCCATAGGAATCTTTCTTTCCCTACCTCGCCCCGCCCCCCACGCCCCGCACTCCCCAACAGCAGGGACTCAGGACAGTCGCTTGTCCCCGCCTCCCACAGCAGTGCAGGAATCGCATCTAAACACAGGGATCACACAATGACTCCTCTCAACAAGGGGAGGTGACAAATCATGGCTTTTATCTTAGGAAAAAGGCAGCTAAGGGGGAACACAGGGGAGGTGCGCAAAGTTATGCACGGCGCGGAGAAAGTGGAGAGGCATACACTTTCCTCCCTCATAAATACATACAATATCTTCTCATTATTTGTTTAAAAGCACCATAGATTAAAAGAGGGTGGTTGTGTGTGTGTGTGTGTGTGTATACTTAATGATTCCCAGTGGTTTGTGGAGGGGGGGGGAGTTCATACTGAGGCAAACTGGTGGTGATGGGGACTAAGAATGGGGTGCTGAGAGACTTAACAGGCAATGTAGACTTCCTCCCATCAACTTAAAGTTACTTGTGGACCTTAAAAGGGTTGGGAGGCAGAGAACTGAAAATGAGACTGACTGTCATTGGTCCTTATGACTTTGCCAAGGTGGCAGATTCACAGGTTTCATGAGAGAAGGAAAGCTTGCATGAATATAGCCCTATCCAGTTTTGGCCCACAAATGAGGCTTCCTATTCTAGGAGTGAAGTGAAGTGGGTAAGAATTTGGTTATACCAGGGGTCTGCAACCTTTAAGACAAAAAGAGCCACTTGGACCGAAGAAGAAAAAACTGGGAGCCGCAAAACCATTGCGACATTTAAAACAGTGGGGAGTGTCAGGGTACACAATGCGCCTCCTCCCCTCACTAGTATCCGCCCCGGAGCCGCGGCAAAGGTGTAAAAGAGCCACATGCGGCTCCGGAGCCGCAGGTTGCTGACCCCTGGGTTATACTAAAGAAAGGTTTATAAATAATAAAATTTGTGTGAGATTAAAGGAACTTGATGAAGAGAAAGGAAACTACAGGGCATCATATACCAGTATTATGTCATTTAACTGTTCTCTGTACCTTCAAAGAGTTGGTCCTTAAACTCCCCCTCCCCACAAAGAATCCATTTTCTTTTAAAGTCAACACTGGTATGTGTGAAGTAACAATAAAAGATGAATTTGAGCATGTGCATAATGGCCATTTTCTCAATAGGCATAGGCAGGACCAGTCACTACATACGGGCCTTTAGTGTTTCAGGATAGAATACGGTTGGGGACCTTGCAGCCCAATGGTCTAAATAGGGCAGCCAAATGGCAAGGTCATATCAGCCAAGTCATTCTCACCTCTCACATACTTGATGTTAGGTGTGGGGCAGGTAAGGTAAACAGGAGGTTGCAGGCACCACCAATCAGTTGACTGCTGGGTCTTGAGAAGCCCTTTTCAGAGCGCTAGCTTGCAGTGGAAGGTATGAGTTCCAACACCTTTTGTTTTAGAAATGTAGAAATTTAGCACCAGAAGGAACATAGTCTGCCACTATCCTTTAAATCAGGTTGCTATAGCCCCCCCAGGTTTTTCTGGACTTCAGTCTCCCGTCAGCTGCTGCCAGCACAGACAGTGGCCTGGAATGATGAGAGGTGTAGGATAGCAAAATCTAGAGCAGTGTTTCCCAAACTTGGGTCTCCAGCTATTTTTGGACTACAACTCCCATCTTCCCTTGCCAGCAAGACCAGTGGTCAGAGATAATGAGAATTGTAGTCCCAAAGCAGCTGGAGACCCAAGTTTGGGAAATACTCATCAAGAGGGTCACATGTTAGCCTCTCCTGATTTTAATGGTTCATCAGGTTTGATCCGCATATGGGATGGCTGCATATTCCTGCATTGCAGGGGGTTGAACTAGATGATCCTCCGTGTCCCTTCCAATTCTATGTCTATGATTCTATTTGTTGAATAAAGAGCTAGACATTTTAAGGACCACAAAATAATTACATTGTAAACAACCCTGTGATCCTCAGACGAAGGGCGGCAAAGAAAATAAATGAATTAATGAATGCACAAAGTGGTATGAAACAATATTATGTCATTAGTGCCATGTAGGTGGCTCAGTCTTGAATGTATTTCCTTTCTCGGTAATGTTGAAAGGGAGATAAAAATCCAGCTGGCATCAGACATCAAGGTGCTTGATGTTTAGTTTTCAAATGCTGCTTTCTGCATTGAGTAGTCTGAAGTCATTCTGTAGTTAAGTGTTTATTATAAGGTCCATGAAAATAGGTCTCAGAGGAAAGTGATGAATGAGTCTGTCAAGCAGTCTTCCTCACCCTGGTGCTACAAATGTTGTAATCCAACTCCCAGTATTCCTGACCATTGGCCATGTTGGTCAGGGCTGATGAGTTGTAGTCCAAAGCATTTGGAGATCACAAGACTGAGGACATCTGCTGTAAAAGTTTACAAAAAAGCACTCTTGTTAAAGAGGGGGGTTTGAACATCACTTAGCCTGGTGTGCTCTGGTCCATGGGGTCATGAAGAGTCGGACACGACTAAACAACAACAATAGCAAAGCATACATGTGAAGTACAGGACTCCTTCCAGAATGGGAATAGACTGGATTGCAACTTATGACTATATATGTAATCAAGTAAGGAAGGGAATCAAGCATGCAACATTGGAATCAAACAAAAGGGAAGCAACACAGCTATGAAAAAGAGAAATGCCAGTATCTCTAGTCCCTAAAAGTTTGTGCTACAGTGAATATGTTGAGTTTTTGAAGTATCACAGGTATAGGCATAGAAAGGAAACAAATGATCCTTCTTTAAACAAACAAGCCCACCTGTGACTTTGCAAATGTTTCCCTCAGTATCTGATGATGTCACCTCTCTCCTGCAGCTGGCTATAACTGTCTCTGTCTAGTAGTAGTGCATTAACTAGAATGGTGGGTCTTGATGGGGAAAAACCTGGGGAAATTGCATTCTCAGTGAGCTAGGATATGAATTCACACTTATCAGAACCAAACCTGCTATGATAATGTAGATGAAGTGCCTTAGATAATGTAGTTAATTTCCAGAGGGGCTGCCGTGTTTTTCATAACAAAAAAAGCAAAAGGGTTTGTAGCACATTGAAGGCTGACAAATTTATTATGGCATAAATGTTTGTGGACTGCAATGGAGAAAGCTGTGGCCCTCCCAGTTGTTGCTGGACTCCCAGCTCCTATCAGCCACATCCAGCATGGTCAGTGGTCGGGGATGATGTGTCCAGCAGCATCTGGAGGACCTTAGGGTCCACATCCCTGATTTACATCCTAGAGGAGTACACTATTAAACTTAAATTCAGCCTTCACCAACATATGCTTTGGTTCAGAACTTCCATTGTGCTTCCTGGAGCCACTTACAGTCTGGAGAACATTGGGCTGGTGGAAGCTACTTCTGAAGAGATTTTAAGATGTGCCCCATTTTACTATGTAAACGTGTGGAGAACATTTAGTTGAAATATGGTATATAAACATTCTGAATAAACTCCCCATCAGTTCTAGTAGATACCTTTCTCCAAACCTTGAAGAGTTTCTTCGACTTAAATAAATAATGTCCTTCCTCCATGCTTGCACCATCTAGTACATCATTTTGAGATAACTACTCCACCCATGCTAGCCACTGTAGAACTGATTTCCAGAAAAGCAGTGTTTATTTGGTCCCCCCCACACTTTTCTTGGAAGTGCCTAAAAGAGTGCTCTATGTGTTCACATTGCAGCTGAGTTCTCCCCCCAGCTAGTATGCTACAGAAGGACCTTATCTCCCATCCCAGTATCTGCGATTAACACAAAGTGTGAGCTTGTTTTCACAGCAAGCAGAAAGATGCCTCTTTCCTATCATTGGTAGGGATTGTTCTCGCTCATGAATCTCCAGATTTGTCTAACATTAATAACTGCTACTTCAGTTTTCAGTTAACCGTTTTTTCTTTTTTGTTGAGCCTAGATAGCACTAACAGAGCAATCCTTGGGGAGTGTGGCTTTGTATAAGTAATAGCATTGCAGTGAGCATTACAAAGGCACTGTTGTGCTGTTCCATAGTACAGCCAAAAATCTCCCTCCACGTAATTAGATTTAAAGGGACTGGGTCTAATGCTAATATTTCACCGTAAGTATTTTGATACCGTAATTCCTTTTCCATATCTCTCTGTTAACATGGCAATCATGAAGCATGTGGATGCCAAGAAGCCAGTACCAATTAACTGCTGGAGTAGATTTTGATGATGGCTCATTCCCTCATGGCTCCATGGTTAGATGTTGCCTGCTCTCCATCAATCTCAGCTGTGTGTCTTAGGTAGTATTCATGTGCACCAGCCTTTCCCAACCTGGTGCCCTCCAGATGTTGTTGGACTACGGCTCATCATCAGTTCTAGCCAGCATGGCCAAGGTCAAGTATGATGGAAGTTATAGTTGAGCAACACCTGAAGGTGCCAGGTTGGGGGAAACAGTTATATGTGCTTTTCTGGAACCCAGTGAGGTTTTTCCTTGAGCGGGTGTATATAGAATGGATGATGGTTCAGGCCTGTACTGAACAGATTCCTCAATTGAAACTTTATATGTTTCTTCTCATCCTTCAGAAATGCTAGAAGATGCTTTATTTACATTGTAGTTCTCTCTCCTGTGCCTCTTTCCCTAGTACAGCCTCTTCCCCTTATATGTGTATTTTTCTTTTAAAACTGATTTGGATTGGTTTTCAATGGGGCTATTACCTAATTAGATAAGTTGCAGAGCCAACTCTACTGGTAGGCAGAGTGAGGCAGCCAACTTGGATGGCAAATGGGGCAGTGGCTACGGAACAGAGGTGGCAGCCCCCTGCAGTTGATCTTTCTGAACCCCCTTAAGAAGACAGAGCTCAGTTTATCACACACCCTGCCATGTGCCCCCTAGGCTGCCCCTTCTTCCCTCTGTTAAGAAGGAAGGAGGACAGCCATTGAGTAATAAGATTCAGTTGCCAATTGAGTAGGCTTCTCTGTGTGAAAAGAGAGGGTGTAGGTTGTATCTTGTCTTTTTCCTCAGGCGTCAAATTGTCTTGGATCAACCCTGTATGCTAAGTCAATGAGTTAATTTATTGCATTTGCACATGAAGTAATGCACATGAAGTGAGGGGTATGTAGAGGGGAAATACCTTAGTTTGTTTTTAATTATGCATGCACTATAAAAGGCTGGTGCCTCTATGATTTTTGTCTTTCAGAATGTTGCTGATTATGTGTTTCTTGTCTTAAATTTTCAGAGGTGGAGCAGAGCTCTTGTTTGATGGGATAAGAAAACATCAGGTGACTCTGCCCAGCCAGAAAACACCTTGTGAGTATTTTGTCTGTTCTGTCTTCTTCTGGCCCAGACTTGGTTCTTATTGATGGACCGAGATGAAAATGAAAACCTGTTCTATTTGTGAAGCTTTTATACTCGAGGTCCAGTGGCACATGGGAAACTGCCTTATGGTAGATCAGACTATTTGTCCACTTCCTAGACTTGATGTCTCCTTGATTTTGGGCAGAGAAAGCCCTCTCCAGTTGCCTGCAACTCAGTTTCTGGCTGTTGCGTCAGAGCCTTACCTACCCATACTGCCAAATTTGACATTGCTGTGATGTCAGGGGGTGATGCATTTTGAAGCCCTGATTGCTGGAACTTCAAAGCACAGCATGGCTTGTTTGAAACAGTTCCATTCTGTTATTTGAATCTCCAAAAACCAGGGGTTCAAGTAGCAGTGCTGGGAGGGAAAAGGAGTATCCATGCCTTGGAAACAGCTTTTCCCTCATGGAGCAAGAAGTGATGCTGGATGATGGTAGCGTGTAAAGGAACAATCGGGAGCTCCCTTTAAGCCATTATTTGCCCCACATCAGACCTTTTTTATGTCAAGTGTAGGGTGGTGGGCATGGTTTACCCAAAACAGCCTCATGACCCAAATGGGGAGGTCTGGCAGGCCATGTTTGGCCTGCAGGTTCCACACCCCTGCTTTAACTGGAGGAGCCAAGGACCTTCTTCAGGGAAACCAGGTGCTCAGCTGCTGCTTCATTGGTCCAGGTGGCTTCTGGTCCCTATAAATGCATGTTTCTGGGCAAGGATATAGTGAAGTGCTTTTGGTCTGCAAAATGAAGGCTACTGCAAAGAACAAAGGGTGACTTCTCACACCAACCCCTGGGATTAGACAGCTTCCTGGAGGTTAGCTCTATCAATGACTATTGCCTATTATAATAGGGCTTCCCAATACAGAGACAGTATTCCTCTGAAACACCAGCTGTTGGGGACAGAAGGCAGGAAGCGCCATGGGCACATCTTGCCCTGGTTGTGAGTCTCTCAGAGATATTTAGTTGGCTGCTCTTAGAAACAGGCAGTGTTTGTTCTGACTCACCCAGCTAGTTCTGCTGCTCATCTGTAGGGGGTTGGTGGTACCCTAAAATTCAGGTCCCAGAAAACAGTCTGAAGGCATGTGATGTACGCAACCTCTCTGCAACTAAGACTAATCTGAGTCTAATCTGCACTTGGATGGGAGGAGGCTTAGGGATCCCCACCTTGTGTCCCACAATGGAAGAAATGCAGCAATAAATCATTGCATATGGGAGAAAATGAGAAATGAGATGCTGATGCTGCCCCCTATACCTTTGCAATAATGTGTAAACAATAGTGCATCAAGAAGAAACTTGACACAACCTGGGTATGCTAGGGTCATGTAACAGCCATGTAAGGTAGGTTAGGCGGAGAAGTGGTGGCTGGTCCAGGATCTCCTGTTTCTACTCATTCCTGTGTAGTGGGATTCCTGACTCAAGGAACAAGTGAATGGCAGAAGCAATCCACCACTGTGCTTCCCATTTGCAGCTGAGGATGTTTTTTGCCTTTTCCAAGTTATGTGCTTTTGAATATGTGTGAGAATATCTGGTCACCTGCCACAGTCTTGGGAGTAAGCATTAGATTCAAACATCTAGGGTCATTCAGTGAAGCTGAGTGGTGAGAGCTTCAAGACAGACGAAGGGAAATACTGCTTTGCACATCCCATGGTTAAACTATGGAAACTGCTGCCGCAGGTATGGGTTGCCAACTTGAACTGGCCTGGATTACTGCAAACGCCTTATGGTTGCTGCATATTGCCTCCAGGGTCAGAAATGGTGTATTTCTTAATATCAGTTCCTGGGGAGCAGCAGTGGGAAATGACCATCACACTTGTGTCCTGCTTTGCCAATGGAAAACAGAAAACTGGACCGGGCGTGATTTTGGACTGATTCAGTGGGGCTGTTCTTACATTCTTAATGCAAACTTAAAACTCGTATTACCGTATTTTTCACTCTATAGGGTGCACTGGACCATAGGGCGCACCTAGTTTTTTTGGGGGGGGAATAAAGGGGGAAAATTTTTTTCCCCCAGCCCCAAAGAGCAAAGAAGCCAAGACAGCGAGCGGGATCCATCCCGCTGGCTGTCTTGGCTTCCTCTTTAGCCAGCATAACCTCTCCAGCCGGGAGAGGCTGTGCCTGGCTTTGGCAGAAGCCAAGACAGCAAGCGGGATGGATCTTGGTTCCTTTTTAGCCACGGGGCTGGGGCGGGGAAAGCCCGAGCTTCCCCCGACCCCAGCTCCCAGAACGGGTCCGGGAGCGGGGTCGAGGTTGCGCACAACCTTGCCTTCGCTCCCGGAGCTTGCTGCTATCTTCAAGCCTTCTGAGTCCGGCGGGAACTCCTGTGGGCTCCCAAGGCTTGTGGATATCTGTATGAAGCCCGGGGCGCACTGCGCAGCGCTCCCCGGGCTTTGGGATGCAGGCTGCTATCCGCAAGCCTTGGGAGCCCGTGGGAGTTCCCGCCGGACTCAGAAGGCTTGCAGATAGCAGCAAGCTCTGGGAGTGAAGGGGGCACTCCCGCCGCACTCTGAAGGCTTGCGGATAGCTTCCTGAAGCCTGGAGAGCGAGAGACCCCTCTCGCTCTCCAGGCTTCAGCGAAAGCCTGCATTCGCTCCATAGGACGCACACACATTTCCCCTTCATTTTTGGAGGGGGAAAAGTGCGTCCTGTAGAGCAAAAAATACGGTAAATTGTTTTAGATTTAGAATTTAATCAAAATTTGATTGAAGCCTAAACTAAGGAGATGTGAGCCTTTGACCAAAGTAACTCCCAGTCCCTAAAGCTGGCTCTGACAAGAGATTCAGCAGGCACCTTCTGCTCCATCTTTTAAACACCTTTCTGAAACTTTCCTCTGTGGACAATTAATACAACTTTCTGCAACAGATAACCCAATCTCTGATTTTAACTTTATATGGTTTTTTTTATTGTATGGTTTTACATTCAGTTGTTGTGAACTGCTTTGATATTTTTTTTAATGAATGGGGCACACAACTATTTGCTTTAAATAAATAAATAAGAATAAATCTAATGGGCATACTCAGCTGCCTCACACCAAGTCAGGCCGCTGGTCTATCTAGCTCAATCTTGCTGACTTCAGCTGCTGCCAGTTCTTGGACAGAAGCCTCGCCAAGTCCTGCTCCACAGTGGGATTTCTTAATTAGGGGAGCCATCTGATTGAACAACTTAAGTAGACGTGGGGAACTACATATTTACCTGCCCCAAACCTGACATGCTATATATTGGGCATATGGACATGGCTTGGGAAGATGGCCTTTCAGGCCAAATTGGGACCCCCAACTGGGGCCCGTGAGCCAGAGGTGTCTTCTCACCTCACCTTGCTCCCGGCTGAACTGAGGTTTTCATTAGCTAAGACTGCAGTCCTATACACACTTACCCGGGAAATCTGTTTAAACATAGTGGGGCTTTCTTCTGAGTAAACCTGCACAGGATGTTTCCCAGTACCCACCCAACTGCCCTTTTTTATTGGGACAAAATCCATACAACTGTCCAGAGACAGAGAGCACAAGGCAAGTGAAGGATGCTGGTCTGCTTTTGTGTATTATTTTTGTAATCAATGTAGAATTGTAGAGTTGGAAAGGAGCTTGAGGATCACATAGTCCAACCCCTGCAATGAATCATGGGAATCTGTGAACTGAGACAGCTCTGTCCACTCTTACTTATTGACTTTTACGTATTTTGTTCTCTTGACAACCCCATTTTACTGTACCTCCTGTCCCATATAGTTGTTTTATTGCCATTGTATTGTTGATGGTTTCTCCATTTGTTTGAAACCCAACAAAAACATATTTAAAGGGGGATGCTGCTGCCTTAGCTCCTCTTCCTTGCTCCTGCATACCAGCTCAGGAAGGACAGGTGAATTGTCCTGGCTCAAGAGGGTGAGGCAGGCAGCAGTGCCCCCTTTGCAGGGGTGTCGTGCTACCCTGCAGCGCCTACCTCTGATGCAGACAATTGCAGACAATGGTGAATAAACTGGAAACCCTCAATCATGAAAGATAAGAATTCTATTTATTGGTGTCCTTCTGGATGTGAGTGCTGTGAACTCCACCAACACTCAGTAGTGAAGCGGGTCATTGTATGGCTGCAGCAACCAGAGATGTCGGAGCGACTGCCTCCTTCTCCTGTAGCCATACAGTGCAGCATTTGTCTGTCGTCAAAAGAAGCATCACTTTCTCCTCTGTGTGTCTGTGTCTATAAACAACAATCCAGGGATAATTTTAACTCTTTCAATGGTGAGCTCTGATAGATGGCAGCTTCTAAGTCAGGCTTTGCTCTCCTTGTGACATCTATTTAGTCCCATGTGTGGGCTTGCTTAGCTGCTGCTGCTGCAACATTTAAGTAGCTTATAAATGGTGATACCTGCAGGGTAACTTCAATGTCATGTCAACAGCTTTCCTCTACCCAGAGGGATTATAGGGCCCCAAAAGGGGCAGATGTCAAAACAGTGGGAGAGCAAAGAGGTCTCATGTCAGTGCAGGTAAATATGTTTGGGAAAATGACATTCTATCCAACTATATTCCTGGTTTGGAGGACCTGAAAGAGGCACTCCAGATCCCATCACAATCTTTCTCACTAAAATAATTAACATAGAAGAAAACTTGGATATTTGCCCTCCCTTGACAAATTCTCAAAGGGCTAAAAGGATGATAAGGCATAGCTATCTTAACGATTTGCCAAGATGAGTCACGGACGAAATAAGGTCTTGCCAAGTTCTTCAAAAGAACCAGATAATGCTGAGATTCACCACAGGTGGATGAATCTTATCCCAGCTTTTGAACTGCCATTATTAAAAAGTAGATCTGGAAAATTTCCATTTCTTGCCCAACACAAGAAATACCAAACATTTACTTATGACTTTTAGTAAACCGGCCTTCCCGTCTTGACTTAGGGAGATGAAAAAGATCCTATGGTGGTCTCATTTTCTTCACCCGATAAGGGTTTTCAAAGATGAAACAGTGAGAA